AGCCTTTCCAAATTCATTGCATCGGATGTGTACGCTCGTTTCCCCCCTATTTCGCGACTTCTCCTGGACAACACGGATGCGCCGGATCAATCCTTACAGAATGAAAAACAATCACCAAAGTGCAACTAATAAAAAAGGTAAACGAGAACACCGGCAATACAACGATTGACGCATTAGGAAACCTAGAATTACCATTTTCCTGAGCGGAAAGCCATATGTGCGCCGCATTGCTGGCTTCCAACATATCACTCGTAGGAACGTAGCAAACACGAGCGCTTTTTGCGGTGTCGTAAAAACGCAAGGGATATATGAAAGTGTAAATAATAAAATCCAAATCCGGTGCGCAATCTTACTGCCCGCTAGTTTATTCAGTCCTACCAGCAGTATGCTGTATCCATCGCATGATTTTGTGATTTATGAATCTTTCCGTAGCTCCGGGAAGGACTTGCGGAGTATAACAATTGTAGAGGTTATCGTGAAGCTTGTTTCATGTAGTTACCCACAACGGCGCTCCTGATAGGCGGGTTTTGTTGTGTAAGCCATGCCAATTATCCTGATGGGCCAGTCTGTTTGTTATGGTGAAACCATGATTTTTCCCGTTGCATGACTTAGATTATGAACCCCAATTTGTGATAAATATTTCACCTGGAACGATGCAATGATTATAAAAAGGACTGGTCCCATTTCGTCATGAGGTCAGGCTCGCTGAGTTGCCTGTTCTCAGACATAATAATGATTCCTCAAGAACATCAGTCTGAGGCAAACAATTGTTTTCAGTGATTCATCTACGAGCCGGTACAATCATATAAGGTTAAATTACAAAGGGATGGGTAGTGATTGGTTCGGGGGTTTGTTCTGAACTGACTCGGCCAATGGTTAGATAGCGAAGAGTTCGCCGCTGTCTCATGCACACAGATCGATTGAGGGTTACGTAATCACAAGGCCTGACCCGATGTCGGGGTGACGGCTAGGCTGATGGTTGTTCGGCCAGGGCAGGTATAGAGATTGAACAAACATTTTCTGCGAGCACAGCGGGGGTTGGAATATGCGGATCGCAATGGCCTCTGCAGTGGCGAGCATCCTTAACCGTGTACCTTTCGATTTGCTCATTGGAACCTGATAAATCACAGTAAAAGCATTAGGGAGGTTAACCTGGTGACCAGATTCGAACAGATGAGACAAGATACCGCTTGTAAGTACTCCGGTGCCCCCGTTCAACAACCATTTAGGGCTATGTTCCTTAATGTGACGTGACAGTTGACGAGCCGTCCGACCAATGTATGTTGCCCACAAGTGCACTCAAATCGGTAGATAACGTAAGAAGAGGTCAGCTTCGGCAGTCTGTCCTTGTTGCACACAGGAATTAGCTGATTCGTGGCGAAGATGCATCGTAACTCCGCAGCCGGAAAGGTGTTCCTTATCGATTGCGTCAGTTTTCTTGTTAAGAGCTCACTAACTGTATCACCTTTAAAATCAAGGCGGATGAAGAGGGTCTTTTGCGCGACTACGTCCTTAACGACCGGTGTTATTTTGGGCTGCATGTTGCGCTGAATGAATCTTTCTGGATAACCATTTTCACGCCAAGTGTTCTGGATGGATTTCATCTCATCCTCCAGGGCGTCCTCTGAACATATCTTTCTCGCCCTTGAGGTGAGACAATGTACTAAGTTACGCTTGTATTTAAGCGGTACAAAACTACTGAAATTTGTATACTGACCTGTCCACGTCTTCTTTCTGTTTGTCTTCCTTAATATGGAACCGTCAGTTCGTCTAATAAGGTGTACATCCAGAAATGAGAGTTGGCCATCTTGTTCAAGTTCGTATGTGAACTTAATCGCCGGGTGCGCACCATTAAACTCTGCCAATATGTCCTCCAGAGAGATATCTTTATGAGTTATGCAGAAAACGTCATCCATATAACGATAGAAATGGTCGAAACAATCTAGTAGTGGTCCCAGTGATTCAATTGCTAGTTTGGCAAGAAAAAGCTCCGCTAGCACTGGTCCGAGTGGGGACCCAATTGCGACCCCATCATACTGCCGATAAGATATGCCGTCGAAAAGAAACTGAATGTTGCAGGTGCATCTCAGAAGTAATTCTTTCAGGCTTGGTAAGGGTATAGCTAAATGAATGCTGTTATCATGCACATAGTTGCATAGGTATTCTATTGTCTCTAGTAGCGGGACATTCGTGAATAAAGAAGCTGCATCAAGTGAGAACATCTTCTCCTTCAGGTTCCCATCTCTAATGTGCTCTTCGAATGTAAAACTATCCCGAACACTACGTTTGGCAATTCGTTTTCTTATTGGCTCCAGTAATTCTGCCAACCACTGGGCTGTTGGATGACATGCGGAGTTTGTCATGGACAATATTGGGCGTAGAGACACAACTTTGTGAACTTTGGCAGTCCATACATTCGCGGGATAGATGTTCCAACTGGCCTCAGACTTTCAAACTGACTACTAGATATAAAACCGCGGGTACATAGATCTTTCAGATCAGATCTGTTAGAACAAACCCCCGAACCAATCACTATCCATCCTTTTGTAATTTAACCTTATATGATTGTACCGGCCCGTAGATGAATCATTGAAAACAACTGTTTGCCTCAGACTGATGTTCTTGAAGAATCACTGAGAATGTTCCATTTGTAATAACGATTCCATTGAATCCATTGGAAGCGGCACCGGACAAATCTCATCCGTCTCTGTTGCCTTTAACCTGTAGCGCAACGCGTTTAGAGTTAGCTTTAGGTCAACATAAGCTTCTCTAAGGCGAATAAGTCTTCGTATATTGCTCCGTGATTCTGCTATTTCGGTATATCATATTTGGTAAGCAAAATGATTACCACGCACTGCGTCAACCGCATTTTTAGTCTCACTCAAAAGGACCGAATCTGAAGTCAAACAAGATTTCTTTTGTACCGGGCTAAGAAAGATGAGATGGATTATGAAGCTACATGGATACCAAGACAGAAGTTGTTAGAGCCATGTTTTCTTAGCTTGGTGAGGAAAACATATCATCCTCCTAGGTACAGCGGAGGTGGTAGAGGGGAGCACCGTTCGTGTACGACGTACTTACGATTCAGCTTGCGTGCTTTACTCGGAGATTCGCATTGAGGTATAATTTGGGCCGTGTAAAGAATATAGATTGAGAAACACAATACTTACACTTTCTTTTTGCTGTTATGTTCCATAGGGCAGATGGCGTCGGTTGATGTTAATTCGAAAAATTCCAGCAAATCCTTTGCTAACCTCTTTGCTAACGCATGGTCGTCTACTTCGGTTAGGCCGTATTCGCATCTTGTCTACCTGTTGCTTTGTGAGTTCTTACACGGCACTTTGTCGATGTTGCTGAAGCTGTTAAGTGCCTTATGAGTAAATCTTCCAACTGCTTGGAAGGTACCTTTGACCATAACACTTCGTCGTCGTTCACTATTCAGGAAGCGTGGGCCAGGCCGACTGAGGCATCCTCGAACTGGACGACACGGAACATCTGTACAAAAAGTAGCTTGTGGGGAAAAACTAGTAAATCTAACTGAATAAGCAACGAACTATTTCCAAGTATGTATGATTTGGTAAAAAAAACTACAATTACCGCATGGTAAAGGAAGGCATTTAGTGAATTTGGCTTGCTGGAAGCACTATCTATACAGTAGGTTAACAGAAGCACTTGTAAATTCGTAAATCCTTGGAGGGAATAAATTTTTCAAACAGACCTTTATACTGCACAAAAGATATCACTGAAACCTGCGTATACATATTAAGCTCAATGACGACTTAGTTATGCGACTACTTCTTGAATTCAAATCGAACTCTTCATCGAGTCGAGATGATCTGCACCCTTTGTTCCTTAAGACGGTGGATCAGCACATTGATTCTCCTGTTTACTAAGTTTTTCGGCGCTGCATAGACGAGGGACGCCTTCCGAAAGCATAGAAACTGGGTACTGTTGGGCCCATGTACAAGGCAGGAGGTCGTTGGGATCCTGTAAACTACCGGCCGATCTGCCTGACATCGATAATCTGTAAAAACATGGAAAGAAATCTTAAGAGAGCCCTAAATGTTCAGCTGGAGAATCTGCATATATTCTCATGTGCTCAACATGGTTTCCGGAAATCACGTTCCTGTATCTCTAAGTTGCTGTGTGGCGAGAGAAAAATGGGCGAGATCACTGGATGCCGGTAATCGTCTGGATGTCGTTTTTGTCAACTTCAGCATGGCATTTGAGAAAGTTCCTCATGGACGTCTCCTCAAACTCCGGGGAATTGAAGTTTCTGGGAAGATTCTCCCCTGGGTCGCTGACTTTCTGGATGGCCGAAGCATGCAAGTTAACTAGAACGATACCTACTCCAATCCTATTTTTATGATCAATTGGGTCCCACAGGGCTCTGTTGTTGGTCCTGAGCTCTTCAAAATCTACATCAATGATCTTCCAACTGAGCCCCAAGCTGATTGCCTCATATATGCTGATGAGCTTAAACTGTGGCTAGAGGTGTCCAAACTTGATGATACCGACGTGCTGCATACCATACTGGACCGGTTGCACTGCTGGCCAATGGAGTGGCAGCTAACCATTAACCATGTTAAGTGTTCTGTCCTCCCAATTGGTGCCCAGAATCCCTTTGGTGTTTATCGTATTGGCGGCTTCCTTGGAGTAGGATCTTGGAGCTCTTGTCTCGCCAAACTTACGCACGACTCAAGACACCCTAAAGTTGCCGCTGATAACAGAATGTTCTTCTCTATAAGGAGATCCTTTTCCCAGATGACTCCAGAGATATTTCAACTTTTCTTCAGCTCTCATGTTCGACTAATTCTTGAGTACGGATTACTAGCATCTTACCCTCTCACGAAAGACGAATGAATACTGATAGAAAAGGTTCAGCGGCGTGGATCGAAATCCGTCATGACACTCCGGAACCTGTCTTACTCTCATCGCCTTCAAAGGATGAACTTGTTCTCCCTGGAGTATCGTCGTCGCCGTGGTGACGTGATTTACACGCGACGTATTCTCCGAGGTGAGATGGGGGATGAGGTACAAGAGTTCTTTCGTCTTTGTGCGGATAGTTCGACACGAGGCCACGGTATGAAGCTGTTTAAACCAAGGAGGATCCGCCTTCGCTCTGATGTCACTTTGTCAACTCGTGTAGTGAATGACTGGAACAGTTTACCTGAGCTAGTCGTCAGTGCACAAACAGCGGAATGTTTCAAATGATTACTAGACATCTATTTGCGGGAAAAGTATGGATCTTGTTGTGTTGACTGTGACCGCAATGCTCCTTTGCGGAACACTGTCCCGCATCAAGGCACATGATTCCTACAGTGAGCAGGAAAAGATGGGCTGACAAAGGATTGCTCTTCTGCTCTCTATAAATCGAGGAACCAAGGCTTTATGTCCAGTACGAAGCTGGAGCACGGCCGATAATCACGGCGCTGTTAGGGAACTCGGTTATCACCCGTGCACCGCTTTGAATGTTAAATCTCCCGTTGTCACAAGCTCTCGTGGCTGAAAAGAATGCAGCGTCATCAGCGTAATCGGACGTTTAGGTCGTTCTGCAAGCACACTCAGTAATGCACCGAAAAAACTGGGACATCGGTCTGTTTGGACCGAGTATCATTGTTTTCATCTTTCTTAAATAACTCTCAAACGGAAAGGCGGATAAATTTTCTAGTGGGCCGAAGCGGCCTACGAAAAAGCGTCATTCCGTCTATGTGCAATTGCAGCGACAGTGAAACCAGGTGCTCGGTATCCTGCGTTCGCAGCGCATGTCGAATGCCTATCTCCAACTCCAGGTGTACCTACTGGTCACCGTGAATGACTCACTCCTGGCTGAATCTAGGCATTCGCAGTAGTGTACGCCCATATGCTGGCAAAATGGGGTGAACGCGGTGGAGGTGACGCAACAAAGTGTTAGTTTGAGCCATAGAGAGTGGCTTGTCGGATGATGTCACGGCGTATCTCCACAATGTTCAGCGGTTTCCAAAGTGGTGGCTCATCATCTGAAAGGATAATCAGCGATAAAAAAAGCTTTATAAACGACATACCGTCGGACACAACCGAAATATCGCACTTCAAATACGGCGTTTCTTCCGATTCCATCGATACAGATTCCAATGCTCCAGAAGATGCCGATGGGTCTGTGCACTTGCTTACGCAGGGTATAACAGTGCTTGGATCCGGTTGTTGGGGTATGATTGTTGCAGATAGCGTCTAACCTGCCAAGAGATAACTATTTCAAAATACTTCGATCACTCCTCCTTTCCTGTATTGTTCCAAGAAGCCCAGCCTCATTAGGTCGTATCAGTAGGTACAAGTTTGGTCATTAGCAACAGGTGCGGGGTCGCATTCTTCGTTGACGCATGCAGTTTGGGAGCAAGGTCAGGTCAGGTTCCCAGGACGATGCAGGCCTCGGCCTAACGAGCGTCCTGTTGCTTGCACCGGTAAGTGAACGAAAGCCCCTGTACTTCGACTGCTGATTTACTTCCGCGACTTCTGCAAGAGATTGAAGCAAAAAGAAAAGCAATCTCTGTATTGCCACGCAGCACGAGGTTACAGCAACATGATACAAGAAAATTACAATAATTCTGGAAAGAGTTCAGACTAACAACTATCTAGGCCTCTACGGCGCTGCATTCTAGTAATGCTTATTTCAGCTATTGACTACACGATTCACAAAGAATTTCGCCCTGACATCCAGCCTAAATCTCTGATGCTTGAGCTTCAGTTGGTGTCCTCGCAGGTGATCTGACCCAGCTAGCTCAAACAAATACTGGATAACACAAAAGCACTTCATGATTTTAAAGATGTCTATTAGATCCACTCTTAGTCTGCGCCGTTCCATTGAATACAGACCTAAGCTCCTTACGCGTTCAGCGTATGGTTTGTCACCTAGACCCCCAATCATCCTAGTAGCCAGTTATGGTGCTTTTTCTATACAGGTTACGTCTTTCCGGTGGTACGGTGTCCAAGCCTGTACCCAGTATACTAGATGAGGTCTTATCACTGGTTTGTATAAGGGGAAAAAGCTCCGCCATAGTGTTGCATAAAGATCTTTTGAGGCGAAATAATTCATTCCGCGCTTTGCTATCAGCATGCTTACATTGCGCTGAAGGTTTGAAGTCGTTCGCAACAATGATGTCTAAGTCTCGTGCTTCATCTGCACGTCGCATATCTAGGGGCCCGACATATGTTAGCACCGTAATCTCTTCATTACGAGAAGTTAGTAATTGGCATTTGCTGGCGCTTAAAGGCAACTCCCATTTAACCGAAAAAGGTATTACAGTGCAAGCCAGCACACGGTTGCGCATGCAAGCCCATCGACTCCCGCGAGGTGCATTGTTTGCGCGCCGAAGGCGCAGCTGGAAGAGGAGGAGGGGAGGCCAAGCGATGACTTGGTCGAGAGAGATGAAAACCCTCATTTCGAAGTTGGCTTCGGTTGGTGCATCCCGACTGTCTGGCTGGGGTCCTAAGGACGATGAACACGTTTGGTTGGACATACTTGCTGATATGGCTTGGAGCCGGCCCCAATGGCGTTTGTGTTGTGAGTTCCTTTGTCCATCCCCCTCCTGCTTAGCCTCCCCCTCCAAGCACGATCGCATCCGTTAGGCATAACATAACATTTTGCGGCACGATAGCCGACTGTTAGCTCTCCGGAACGATGTCCACCTGTTACTGGGGACTCAGCCGGCGTGCCACTGTATTTTTTCGTCTTGTCCTTTGTATTGCAGCACAATAGCTGAAGTGTTTTTCACATGCAGCTAACGTATATAAGGATGCATTACATTGCGAAAGTCCATGGACAACATGTCTCGATTACTCCTGCTAATAATCTTCAGATCATTAGCAAAAATATAACAGGGGTAATGGAGAAGAGGAGCCAAGTCGTTGGCAAACATAAGGAACAATAATGGTCCTAAAATGGAACCTTGGGAAACACCACTGTGAGCAATGCCAATGCTTGATCTAGCTTCGCCAACCCTAGCGCAAAGGTTCTACCACAAACCTTCTGAAATCCAAGTAAAAGTTGAGGATGTAAGCCAAACTATTCTAGTTTCGAAAGCAAGAATCAGTGGTTAAGCGAGTCGAAGGCCTTGCTACAGTCGAGATAACGTACTTCAACTGAGATCCCATCATCTTCAAGACAGCTAGTTATTTCATCTAAGAAACACAAAAGATTAGTAAGACACGATTTCTTATTAACAAAACCATACTGCTCGGCTCCAATTCAGTTGTGATCAACTAAGTGCTCACATATTCGTCTGCGAATAAGCCTCTCCAAGCATTTGAGTAAAACGATGGTTAGACATACAGGCCTGTAACTGACGGGTAGGGTCTTGGAACCTCCTTTATGTATGGTTACAATACTTGCCTCCTTTCAGTCCTGTGGGAGCCTTATTTCAAGCAGTGACATCTTGAAAATCTCCAATGGTAGGATGCACAGCGTCAGGTCCAGCCGACTTATGTGGGTCTAAGCCAGCCAGTACCCCAAAGACTTCCGATGCAGTAAGTGAAGTATCCCGCATTGTATTATTACTGTGAGACAATGAAGGTGAGTGTATAGGAAGCCCATCGTCCGTACGATGCACTTTTGAAAGACGCACAGAAGCATCACTGCTTTGTCTATATCCTCTGTGGTGTGACTGACATCATCGACTAGTAAATTACCAACTAAATGCCTTAAAGAATGCCTAGACTGAACATAACTATAATACATCTTCGGTTTTGCTTTTACATGTTGGGCCAGTCAGACTTCAGAGCAATAATTCGATTGTCGCCGCACTTTTATTGCTGCATTGCGACGTTTCTTGCACTGCCGGTACGCAATACTTTCGGCCTCTTTTTGTCGTCGTAGCAAGCTAACAATTTTTGGATCGTGGAACCTTGGGCATACGGATTTTTCCTCCTGTGCCTCGGTCCTGCTTTCTTCATCGACATTGCGTGAGTTCATTCCAGTAGGTGCTCCTGTTAGTTAGTTCTTTTAGTCGTATGAATTCACTGTGTTTACTGTTGTATTTACTATTTTCGTAAATTGTGTTAATTTATTGTGACCATTTATTCATATTTCGCCGTCAAACCTGCATCGATTTGGTCATTTAATCCAATCCTACTATCCAGCTTTTTATTATTATGTTAAACGTGGCTGTTACGTACTCTTCGCAATGACATCGGTGGCTGATTACAAATGTGGTGAGCAGTTGTGGCATTGAAGTCAAAGAGGGAATCCAGTGCGACAGATGTTTATTATGGTACCATAACAATTGCTCTAGATTAGACCAGGACACTTTTGATCTTTACGCCCGACATCCGACATTCCACTGTGTGTGCTTAGCAGATACTTGTTCTCGCTTGATACACGATTAGACTTTTGACCCAACTACTCATATCTCAGCTGCACATGATTTTGCTTGTAGGAACTGTGTGCATAGAATGGATATTGCGAAAAAGTTGATTCGTGACCAGAGCTTGCTAACTGAGACATCACGTTCAAAATTCGATGGGTTAAGTTTGATGGAATGTTACTTGCGAAGTGCAGAACTTGCTATTAGTAGACAACGAAAAATTCTTGTCTACAATAATGAGGATCCAGCCATACTGGAAGCTAAAACTCGACGGGACATAGATAGGAAGCGAGTGAACGATATCCTTCGCATAGCCGAAATACTGTTATACGTTAGACTCAAAAGAGTACATCGTGTTGGCAGCTAGAGATAAACAGGTATGCTTCGCCAACAAGGTTATGCAAGGCCTAGGATGGTTGCGAGTCAGATAAATGGTCGGTATCGAATAGCACCGTACACACACTTCGAAGGCTAAAGCCCCTAGGATGAACCGGTTAGAACATACAAATACCAGCTTGGCTAACAAATCTGCGGCCTCGCATGCTGGAATTCGCGATAGTGAGCCTCACGTTACGCAATCAGGCTGGACCTTACCGTGGTGCGATGGTTTGCGTGCTTCAGAGATCCATTGAGCTATGCTGGGTGGTGCTTTTTCTGCACGTTCAGAGCCACTCATACCAGATTGGTCAATGGTTAGAGGCCAGACAAACTCAGCCTCCTGGTCCTCCAGGTTGGGGGTTGGAATAAGGGTGGCTCCTTATTCCCTAAAATGGACTCCTTGTAGCTCAACGTTAAACCCGCTGTCTTGCGGATAGGTTTTTTAACCAAAAGCTTTGGTTGGGAACCATAATCGTTCTTCTGTCTAGACCTGGGCAATCTGACAGTATCCTGCTCACAAAATACTATGAATCATTCGTCAAACAATTTTTTGACGCTTTGGCCACCGCAGAGAATACTCAACGGTGCCCGATCTGCTGCATCGAGCAGGGTGGATAGGTGTTTGGATGCTACTGCTCAAGCTTACCCAGCTGCTTATTCCTCCTCTTAGGCTTTTTCACTCTTTACTTTTATCCCCCCCCTGTTTTCAACTCCCCAATTCTCCGGCCACCCTACCTTGCTTTGATAGGCTTTTACCTATTGGTCTCAACTCACATGTGAACGCGGAGCGTCACTCCTCTCCTGTCGATAAGCCCATGTCCAACCAAGCGGCCAAGCCCAGTTCATTGGCTTCCATTTGGAGCACTCGATCTTCCTTCAGATTGGCATGCCTCAATGTACGCACACTGCTACAAATCGGTCAACAGGTAGCACTTGTCAGAACATTAGAGACCCTCTCGATCGACATCTGCTGCTTACCGGAGACCCACCAGCAAGAATCGGGCTCTGTGCTCACTTTGCGATCCCCTTCAGGTGACGCAAGCAGTATTTTCTCATTGCGCCCATCCGGTGACGATGCAGCTTCGAGCACCGGCCCAGCCGGTGTTGGAATTGCCCTGAGTCCCCAGGCTGAAGCTAATCTGGTTGATTGGATTCCAATCAGTAGCCGGATGTGTGCGGTCCGATTGGCTGACTCGTTCAATACTTCGAAGTGTCGTTTGACTAACAGGTGTCTATCCGTCATCGCTGCCTATGCGCCCACAAACTCCAGCGATGATACGGTAAAAGACGACTTCTATCGTCAACTGAATGAGCACTTTCACCACAGACGAAGCTCGGACACTGTAATGCTGGCTGGGGATCTGAATGCTTAAGTTGGAAAAATATCCATTGATGAACTGCATCTGGGCGGCCAACATGGTGTAGGTTCCCGTAATGATGACGGTGAGCGGTTACTTCATTTGTGTGAGGATGCTCGCTTATTTCGTGTGAGCACTAATTTCCGACATGGCACCCGACGGAGGGTGGCTTGGCACCCACCAGCCTCGAACCAGCTATGGCCGCAAATCGATCATAGTGCGATAAGTTACCGATGCAGAGGCTGAGTGCAGAACTGTCGCTCGATTTAGAGCACATGTGTAGACACCGACCATGCGCTTGTATGTGCTGACCCGCGGATGCGTTTTGGCGGACGCCCACGACGACGTTGTGAGCGCACTGACACCAGCCAACTGGCGAAGCCAGCTGTTCTGAATGCTTATCAAAGTACGCTGCCATGCGAG